AGTTTCTTCAAAAGATCCGAGTTTCTCAACAAACATCTTCTGAGATGTAAGGATCGTGTGAAACATATTTACCCAAAGAACGTATATGAGCTTCGCGAAACCCTGTTTGAGAAGCTAGAAGGATTCAATCTTCCAGTTTCCGATGATAAAAAACTCTTCAAAAACCTAGCAATTTTCGATTTTGAGTCGATTTGTGTTCCTACAGAAGAGCTAAAAGAAACACAAACTACTACCTGGATTGGAAAACATGTCCCCATTTCAGTCTCTATATCATCAAATCTGATTGATGAACCCATCTTTTTGTACAACAAGGATCCACAGAACTTGATTATTGATTTTGTAAGCAAACTCGAGCTGTTGGCTGAGAAAAGTAAGCTGGAGATGAGAACAAATTTCCAAGATATTGAAGTTGCTGTCAATGAAAGAATGAAGAAGATCTTTGATCAGCTAAACGAACGTGGTAAAAATTATTCAAGTAACAAATTCGAGTACGAAGACGACTGCATTGAAGATTCGGAAGAAGCAGATATGTCAACACAATTTTTGCGAATTCAGAAAAATCAACTCATCGATTTGAAACAACATCTGGAGAGATATATAAATACTTTACCTGTTTTTGGATTTAACAGCGGTAGATATGATTTAAATTTGATCAAGTCCTACCTAATCCCCTATTTGATTCGCGATAAAGAACAAGAAACATCCGTCATCAAAAAAGCAAATGATTTTATATCTTTCAAGTTTGGAGATGTACAATTTCTTGACATTATGAAATTTCTGGGTGGAGCAACAACTCTGGACTCATTTCTCAAAGCTTATAAAGCTAGTGAAACAAAAGGATTCTTTCCTTATGAGTGGTTTGACAACCCTGACAAACTTGATTTTCCAGGACTGCCCCCATATGAAGCATTTTTCAGTAAACTTAGAAACAACAATCCTCTAGACAAAGACTTTACTGATTATGAAAAACTGAGGAAGAGTGGACTTGATGAACAGCAAGCACTGAAAAAGCTTCAAATCAAGACTGTACCCCCATCTGGTCTAGATAATTACAGTTACTTACAACAAACTTGGCAGAAAAACGGAATGACTGTTTTCAAAGAATTTTTGCAGTGGTACAACAACAAAGATGTAGTTCCAACCCTGGAAGCAATGCAAAAAATGATTCAGTTTTATCATAACAAAGGGATAGAGATGTTGAAACTTGGATGTACACTTCCAAATCTAGCAAACATATGTCTAAACAAATCTACAAATTACAAGTTTTATCCATTTTGCGAAAGTGATAAAGATTTGTGTGAAAAAATACGAGAAGACATGACCGGTGGGCCTTCGATTGTGTTTACTCGAAAAGCTGTTGTAGACGAAACCTTTATCAGAGATTCATCAAATATTTGTAAGTCAATCGTTGGAATTGATGCGAGCCAGCTTTACCCCTATGCAATGTGTCAAGATATGCCAACAGGACTGTATACGAGATGGGAGTTTGACACTGATATGCAGAAATTCAAGGCTAGACATAATCGAACTCGCAACTTTGAGAATATGGTCATGTCTTTCTATCAACAATCAAGACCAGAATGTAAAATTGAGAGCTTTTTTACATCTGGAAAACAGAAGAAAATTGACTGTATTAATGTGGACGGTTATTGTGATCACTGTAAAACAGTATTCGAGGCAATGGGTTGCTACTATCACTTTTGTTCTTGTCAAGAAACTCGTCCCTCCTTAACAGAACAGGATATTGAGCGAGGAAACAAGAAGAGAGAAATGGATGATATGCGACGAGAATACATTAAAGAGAAAGGATACAAAGTGGAAGAAATGTGGGAGTGTGACTGGTGGGAAAGTTTCAAAACCGATGAAAAGATCAAAAATCACGTCAGAACCCACTTTCCCTATAAAAGACCTCTTTCTACAGACTCACTTCTAGCAAAAATAAAAGATGGATCCCTTTTTGGCTACGTTCAGTGCGACTTAGTTGTTCCAGATGAACTGAAATCGAAATTTGCGAATTTTCCTCCAATTTTCAAAAACACTGAGGTTGGAAGAAACGATATTGGTGACTATATGAAGAATTATGCTATTGAAAATGAAATGTTGAAACATCCACAGAGAATGCTTATATCTAGCTTCAAGCTAGAAAATGGAACAGTTATAACTCCTCTCTTCAACTTTTATTTGGAATTTGGTTTGCAATGCACCAAAATTTATCGTTTTGTTGAATATTCTCCTCGGAAATGCTTTAATAATTTCGTTCAGTCAGTGGTTGATGCAAGAAGAGAAGGAGCTGAAAACCCTCTATCAGGAGTTGTAGCAGAAACAATGAAGCTCTTGGGCAATTCCTCCTATGGATATCAGATCATGGACAGATTAATGGCATACAATCACGAAGTATCTGAACGATGAAAAAACTCACAAGGCAATCAATGAACCACTGTTTAAGAGACTTAACACAGTTGAGAAGGACTTATATGAGGTGGAGTTATTGAAGTCAACCATTGAGCACAGAGAACCCATCATCATTGGTTTTTTCATACTTCAGTATGCAAAGCTGAGAATGTTGGAACTCTACTACAACTTCTTTGACAAGTTCTGTGATGTAAATAAATTTGAAGAGTTGGAGATGGACACAGACTCACTTTACTTGGCACTTGCAGAAGAAAATTTGTACGATTGCATCCAACCAGATAAGAGAGCTGCTTGGGAAAAAATGAGGGAGAGTGATTGCAGAGATTCCTTCAAGGCGGATGCAAAATCCAATTTCTTTCCTCGAACCTGTTGTAGTATCCATAAAAAACATGATAAGCGGGAGCCGGGATTTTTCAAAGAAGAATTTAGGTGCACAGAAATGCTCTGTTTATGTAGTAAGACATATTGCTGCTATGACAACAAGTTAGACAAATTCAAATTTAGCAGCAAAGGATTGAATAAGCGGGTTCTAGAAGACTCTGGAGATGGACCTTTAGCAAAGTATAGGAGAGTGCTTGATGAAGTAATTAATCTTACATCTACTAACAGAGGATTCAGAACTATAAATCATGTGGTGGCCACATATGAACAGACAAAGAAAGGACTAAGCTATTTTTATCCAAAAAGACAAGTACAAGATGATGGAATTCATACAAAACCACTGAACTTATAAGAACTGATCTGGTTAAGTAAACTTGTTCATGATGTTGTATTATATTGGCTTTATGATGTTAAAATGTAAAATGTTGCGGTAAACTTGTTATACAATGCAGTGATTTAAATACTTTCTTTGTAATTTAAACTTTTTTCTCGGAAACTTGCCTTTTTTCGAAGTCTCTGTAGGTTTCAGCATTGTTTCAATTAGATAGAAAGTAAAATTATCGTTTCAATTAGATAGAAAGTAAGATTATTTAATAAATTAGGTCAAATAATAGCTAACCTTATCGTTTTTTGAAGTTTTTTTTTTGAAAAATTTTTCATAAAAATTTACCCAAAAACTCTTACCATTGACTTACCATGTATCAAAAAACTAATCAAACGTCCTTAATTACACAACCTACACGTAATTAACCTTCGATATTCACAAATTAGTTAACACGCGCCAACATTTTGCGAAAAAAACTTGACATTTCCACACAAAAACTAAAAAAATTACGATTTTCTTACCATTATCTTACCATCACACAAACCATAAAACCTTACCATCGGTATTCCCTATCTTAATACATTGTAGACTCTATACCCAATCTTAATACATAGCATGGAAGACCCGAAGTCTATAACGTATCTTAATACATAGGGTCTTCCATGCTCCCCCCCCCCCCCCCCCCCTGATCACCTCCAACATCTACTACTCCCCTGGGACGCCCAAGGTTGCTGGTTCGAATCTGACCAGCAACTTTTTTCAAACTGGATATATCCTTTCCAATGAAATGTTAGCCTATAATTCGTCTGCTTATATTTTGTCGACCTAGTTGCCACATCGTAGAATTATTTTTTGGTTTCAATTTTCAATGTAGTTGTTTTCAGTGTTTTGAATTTGTCGTGCATTTTTTACTTTTACTAGCCTGGGCTTTTTATATTTGCTGTTTTTTTTGTCGCTTAAAAGCTATATTCGTCTTAAATGATCTCGGCTCATATTTTATTGGCTTATTGACCCAGTTTGGGGTCGTTCCAAAGGAAGCATAAAAATAATGCTTTATTACGGATCGCACAAAATGCTGAAATTCATTTAAAAAAATTATATTTTCGGTTCTACGGGAAACTGAAAGTTTCGTCGGCTCAGTTGCTGCTTGTTGGTTAATATTTGAATTTTCATTAATTGCCGTTGATTTTGTTTCTGGACGTGTTTTCCGCAAAGAGGACATGATGCCAGACATTTTAAATTTTTTTAAGTTGTTTTTCGAAGTTTTTGCAATTTTTTGTTCTTTTTTGTGACTTTCTTTTCCTCTCTGCTAGCTTTCACTGCTTTTAATGTTGTATCGCTATTTGTGTTTATTTCTATTCACTGTCTTGTTACGCAATATTTTCGTCGCATCGTAAGTATTGTGAAGCTCCGCTTCGCCTCTGTATTGAGTTTTGTTTTCATAGAAGCTCAAGCCACGAGTCAAGGTAGGCTGATAATCTATTCTGTTTCAACTTAGGAAGTTCTTTTATGATATTTTTCGAAGTTCTTGTCTTTTTAAAGAAAATAATCACATTGCCTTATCAGTGAATATTCCAAATGGATAAAATTGTTGGCTCTTTTGCCTTAACCCAACTGTGAGTCTTAAAGTAAAACGTTTGTTCGCCTTGTCGGATTTCAAAAAAATTTAGCATGCGAACTTATTATTATAGTCAAGCAACTCTATAATAATAAGTTCTGCTGGTTACTGCTGGAAATTGAGGCTCATGCAAGGTGCGGGGAGGAAGCGCCGCGTGAAAAAGATCCGAAGTGTTGATGTGAATATATTGGAAATATGTTAAATAATTCGAACCTGAAAATAATTCTTATGTTCGTATTATTGAGGCGTGTGTTTGATTTCTAGAGTGAAGGTAAGGAGAAGCCAATGCCAGACCTCTCAGTGAAGACAGATGGTCTGAAAGTGATCAGTGTTCCGGAACACCTGCGAACGAAATGGGATGGATTCTACCTGGAGTTCATGCTGCTACTGGGGCTGGTGTCTTATGCACTCAACTTCTTCTACGGAAAACAGAAAAACCAGAAACTGGCGTCTGCGTGGTAAAAATTGCCATCCGAATTACTTTGACAATGTTCCAGTCCCACTAACATTATTTTTTTCTACTGCCAATTTTTCTTTTTATTGCTAAACAAAATCGAGATAGTATGTTTGGATTCTGGCTCTGCTAATTACAAAACAAACGATTGTGTTATAATGCGAGTTTGATTTTTCACAATCGAAACCGCAACAATTTGCATTCATTTTTTGCTCGCAATTTCTTAATCTGTATTTAGTAGCATATGTGTTTCATCTGCCTTGTGAAGGCGCATTCATTGGCGAATAAGGCGCATTATGCTTGGTATTTTCTATAACAGGATGTTTTAACTGCGTAAGGTAGCAAGAATTGACATGCAGCGACAGAATTTAGGGAGTGATAATTTGAAGAAGTCAAAAATCTGAAGAAGACAATCTTATGGGTCAAAAAGTTATCCTGCGCCCAAAATATTTTCTGACTTGCTTATTAGTGATTTGGCAAACCAGCGAACGCAAGAAGTGGATCTAGCATAATCTTCGTCGCTTGGATATAATGGTGACGACTATATTATGGAGAGAACTCGTTTTTTTATAGATTTCATGTCAGGAAAGTGTGTGATCCGAAACTCCGGCCAATTTTGCCAATGTTTTCATCATTGAGACTTAAAACAGTTCTGGTGATATTTTCCCTTTAGTGGCTTCCAAGTGTATAGTTCAGTGATCAGGTAGAAAATAAATTACTAGGTCCTTCATTTACAATAAATATTTTAACAAAACAATGTTCCAATTTTATAAATACAATTTAAAAATATCCACTTAAGTATATAAAGACAGCATACAAAAGGCATACATAAATTTCCATTGATAATCAGCTCTTGCTGTCTAAATAAAGAAATAATTATAATAAACAGTTTGCGTCTTGCGTTTTATTGCCCCAACACCTCTACACGATACCAATCATTCATTTTCGCTCATTCACCACAACGGGAGCCGCAACCAGAATCAAGGGAGGTCTCGAGTACTGGAATTGGGGGCGTAAGTGCTACCGAGACGCCGAAGCCGCAATGCGTGGCTTTCAGAATTTTGGTAGCTTGGTTTTGTTGCGGTTTCCAGATCATGCAGAAATTTTTTTGTGAAGCTAAAAGCAAAAATTATCATTTTATTTGCGGTGATCTAAGTGCTAAGTTTTTGAGAAAAGCTTAGAACTTAAAACTTGTTACCAGAGATTTAAGAAGATACCCAAAGCAACAAAGGAAACACCGAAAATAAAACACTGCGTCGATGTGTTTTTCTCAAACCAAACAGGGTGTGCTAAAGTCCTGAAAAATCAATATCAGATCACTGGAGTGTACTATACGATGATGGGGAAATGTTAGATCATATAAGATAATAAACATTAAGTTCAATGAGACGTTTAAAAGCCATCTAAAAGATTTAAAACGTGGGGAAACGAAATTTATTGTTTCAAATTAGATGAAGTTTTTGTGAAAGTTCATGAGTTACTGCAAGCTAATTTGATCAAATTTTACCAGAAAATTATAAAAAATAATTCACTGAAGCACAAATTGCAGCTTTCAAAAAAAGAAATTGACAAAATTTTTATGTTCAAAAAGAACTATACAAGCTCGGTAGAAGTATAAACATCGAGCAAATTTAGTTTCAAAAAAATTATTCAAGCAAAAACTGATTTTCAATGAAAATAAAATCAAAATGACCCAAGAAAGAATTACAAAGCAACCATCTCAATAAAAACCGATGAATTGGGCGCAGAAGTTGAAAAGTTCCATATTTATTTCAGCAAAAGGCTAAAAACTAGCTCAGACTTCTCATTAATTCGACGCCCCAAGATTTTCAAGAACGTTTACAATTAATGTTTTTGTTGCCCATTATGCCTCGCGAGGTTGATTTGCAACAGATAAAAGCGAAGTTAATTGCTGCATGGATTGCTATGATCTCAACAACGTATTACTGAAAAAAAAAGAAGCAAAGCGATAGTTCAGTCACGAGCAATTTGTTGACCATTTTGCATCGGGAAGTCAAATTTTTGATGTTTTCTAAGCAAAATTAATACAGCAGGGATTGCTATGATCTCAACGTCTTTCTGAATTAAATAAACAAAGCAATAGTTCTATTCCTTATCAGGTTAATCCAGAAAATGTTTGATACACATTTTCCCGATTGCCTGAAGAAAGAAAATTTAATACATTTCTGAAAAACATTGCCTGATAAATTATCAACCGATATCATTACTGCCAGCATTGTTGGAAAACATAGAGAAGTTTATATATCAGGCTGAAAGAATCCGTTACAGAAAACCAAGTTCTTTACAATGCGCAATATGGGTTCCAAAGCAAACGTTAAACAATTGATGCAGTAGTTTCTTCTTTTGATAAAATTTGTTAATAGTGGGATTCTAAGTGGAATTAAACACAATCTACATTCATCTACTTGCGCAAAGCCTCCGCTAATGCAAACCAGATCGTTATTGACAAAATGCTATACATGTGGGCTTCGAGGAACAGTGTATGTTTTTGTAAACTCTTATTTTTCAAATAGTGCTATATATGTTGTGATTCAAACTAAACCTAGCACCCAGTCAGTCAAGTTTGGTGTAACACAAGGATCTATACCGGGTCTTCTCTTATTCATGGTCTTTACCAATGATATTGATTGTAACGTTGATCAGTGGAAATCAGTTTTATACGCTGACTAATTGTATCAGACAAAATGATTATATACAACAAAATCTATAAAAAGTTATGAATGGTGTCTTTTATTGGCTAGATGATAAAATATTTACGTTAAAAACAGACAAAAGAAGATAAATGTTCTTTAAAAATTTCAGTAAAAACAGAAAAGAAAATAGAAAATATTGAGCCGTTAAGTTGTTTTGGATATCTGAGCGTTTGTCTTGATGAAAGACAAGTAAAGGAGGTTCAATTTATTTAAAATGTATTTTGCAGTTTGTTTTACAAACTTAGGTGTTCAAAAACAAATCAATTGATAAAAGTCTACAAAACGTATGTTTAACCAATTGAGCACAACGGTGTGCTTTTTATGCTGCTCCAGACAAAAGAACTTTAAATTCATTGGAAAATACAATCATAAAAGATAATTCATGAAACGCAGTCGGCCAATTAAACAAAATTATTAGGAGTCATGGAGACAGAAAACTGAAGAACTTGGTTGCAATAAGCATTCAAAATTTCACTATTAGAAGACTTTTTTTTAAAACTATATGTCCTCCTTAAATATAGATTTTCCGTTTTTCTTAAGATAACGATGAACTAATTAATGAAATTTTTTAATAGACACCAAGTTTTTCCTGAGTTTTTGCTCGGTTCAATGTCATGTCTCAAGTTGAAATTTTGATAAAACTTAATATATATAATTTTTCACCATCGGTATTACTTAAAACAACCCAGTGATATCTAGAAATAGAATAAAGAATAATCTGGTTTGTGTATTTCATCGCACAAAAAGTTGGAAGATTTCAGAAGATTTGCAAAACATTCAAAGTTGGTTATGGGAAAGTTTATAACTGTAGAAGACTGAAAACGGACAATTGTTGTTTCATGGCGGTCTACCAAAATGATCTGCGTTTTGTAAAAGGAATCTATAAAAAGTAATGAGATGTTAGATATGCGATTTTTTTTATTATTATATATATATGTGTTCAGGTTTTCTTTTCGCCAGTGAATTAGAAAGGAAGAGAAAACTCTCTAGAAAATATGATGATTTTCAAGTTGTGGTTTTTAAATTATTTTATGAGGTGGGGTTGCCAAAAGCAAAAATAAGCTAACAGTAGACTACCGATAGCCTAATAAACGAATTGACAAAAAATTAGCAATTTCGGCTTGCAATGAGTCAATTTAAACAATTTTTGTGGGGAAAAATTAATTACTTCCGAGTGCTAAGTTCCTCTCTATTTTTGGTGGTCGGAACAATTATTTATTGCGCGGATATTAACTTTTTCATTGAAAGAAAACATTTTGATCAGGCTGGACACGACTAGAAGTACCCTGGAGCGCAACTTCTCAGTGGTGGGCGACGATGGTACCCTTAAGGAGCCTCCCTCTGTGACGAGTGCAACCTACTCGCCTGTGCTGATGAAGGAGACAGAACATGTATTCAGTCTCTGGTGTTCCGGAAGAGTGGGCTGCCAAAGTCTACTCATTGACCTCAAGGTTGAACTAAAACTTTTTTTGCGCTAAATATCTTCCTAGTCGAATCTTTTTTTCATCGCTTCGCCGTGTTTTGCGCATGATTAGCGCTTTGTATCCAAATTGGCTTGTGAACCGCGTTTTACTGCAGTTCCAGCTTGTGCTGATTGATTGGTGTTTTTCAGTTCCAACCAAAATCTATAAACTGGTTGCATTATGGGTAAAATAGTGCTCTGTTTTAGTTCGTGAAGCGACAAGATATCATTTCATTGATCAGCCGAGTGATGAAACCCACCAGCGATCTCATGGCAAGTTTAAACCATTAAATTATACGTTTTGTTGCCCGCTACCCACGAGCCTCTCCTTGACATGAAATATTCTACTCCTAGTTTGAAATTAATCGAGAGAATTGGAATAGATTTACTCTTGAGCTGTTCAACTTTTTACGAAGAATGAAAATAGTTTCTGCGTTGATGAACTTCAATTGTTGCGGAACGAATGATCGAATATTTCGTGAGTTTGTGTTCACATCTAATTTTGTTTGTGTTTCCAGGAAGTCAATGTTACATTGGAAGAGGACTTCGAGCCCTTAATTTTCGCCTTCGGAACCAAAAAAGTTCTCTCAAAGAATCTCAAAGAGTTACAAGACTTGGTAAGATCACCCAACTGCTAGCTCAAATGACATAATTTGTTTACCCTTGAGATAAGCAAGGGTATTGCTATCGGGTACTAGACTTTTTTCCCGTAAACAACTTTGTCCACAGGATCTTCACTTCTAGAGGATCTTCACTTCAATTTTTAAATTTACCATGTCTGATTTGAGTTTTTTTTTCGATTTTTTCAAATTCAAACAGTTTCAGTTTATGTTATATGGACTTAGTCAATTTATTTTGCGTAATTTTGAGGGCAAAATATATCCATTTGGGATTATGTAGTTCAGTTTGGATGGGTCGTAAAAGCTTTTAAGTTAAGTGAAGTTTTTCATGACAACAGTTTTGTTTTCGGCTCAACAGGTTTCGACCCAAAGTTTGTTGCCGCTCAGTAAATGAATTCCATTTTATAAGGGCTGTTTGTGAACTTCATCTGATACAAATATGAAGTTTTTGTAGCTGTAATTTTTTCAAGTAATTTTTTTCCAGCATAAGTTTTCAGAATTTTTTTTGACTTGTTTTTTTTTTGGTATTCACTATTTTGTAGCGCAGTGTGTTTTTTGCATCGCAAGTGTTGCGATGCTCCGCTTCGCCTCTGTGTAGAACTTATGTAATCATCACTTATCATACGAAAAATAGGCAGAGCTTGAAGCCGGTCGCTTATCAAGGCTAAATATTGTTATGATTTATTTAAATCAATTCGGACCTGTTGCAAGTGTACAGAAATCTGGTAAAATCGTTAAAATTAAGAAAACTGGCCTTATTTGATAAGAGGCAGACTTCGCATGACCAAAAAAACATCAAGGCAACATGCCATAAAAGGTCAAATATGAAGACGCAATCAGTAAAAAGACGCAATTGATTCTATGATTTGGATTGATTTTTTTGTTTGTTTTTAGAGCAGTTATTGTGACGGGCGGAAGAGTTGTGAGAAGTTCAAACTCACTCAGTACTTCTACGCCTCCGAACTGGTTGAGACTCCAGACTTTGTCATTGACTCCGAGGTAGGCCAATGTCAAAAAGACATTTTTTCATTAACATCAAAGCAGGGATCTTTTCGTCTGTATCCGTTATTTTAATGTACTCTATTGAAAGAGAAAAGCTGGGAAATTAATCCTAGGCTTTTGATTCTGCTTTTGTAGTAATTTCTGTGATACTGAAAACTTGAATTTTCCTCCACTTTTTGGTCTTCTAATTTCTGACTTTCTTTCAATTCAACTCTGGTTGCAGCTCCTGAAGTTCTTGAAGACCTACCCAGATTTACTGGAGTATCTGCACATCTCAGACCAGTTCAGCGGTAAGAAGCCTGACGAACAAGCAGCCGCTTCCGGAACCCCCGTTCCGCCCACGGCAGTGGCCAAAGTTCTCCAGGCCAGATTCGTGATGCCCAAGTTCGGAAGGACACAGGCGGAGGATATGGAGCTGATGCTTCCTTGTCTGAAGCTGATGATCTATTTTGTGGACAAACTGAAGAAATTGAAGCTTACCAAGGAGGTGTGCTGCATTTTGTGTTGTGTGCTTATATTTAAAAAAGCATGTTCAAAAAGTCCCTTGAAATTAGACCCCTTGAGACCTTGAATCGTGAACTAAAATCCGCCTTTGAATCCTGTCCTCAATATTTTTTGAAAGCTTTGTCATGGCCTTCGTTGATTAGACGTTGATTTTTTTGCTCTTGTGATTGGTTTCTTAGTGGTGAGCCCGTCCTCCACGCGACACTGGTTTTGTTGTCTGTATATTTGTTCTGTAAAAAAAACTAGGAATTGAAGTTGAATGGAAATTAGAGAGCTCCTCCCAGGAACTAATCTAATCGCATGTGCTTTGTTTGTGTTAGGCAAAGACGAAGGCAGAGCGTAATCGGACGAAGATGGAGGAGGCGGTGAGTCGGATGTTGCACAGTCAGAGACAAGAGAGTCAGCAGCAGAGAAAGGAGGAGAAGATCAGACTGGAGAAGGAGCGACTCATGACCGAGACAGACCCGGATAAACTCAGGAAGCTAGAGGTGAGAGAGTAGAGTGGAATCGGGCAGTTAATTCAAGTTACGAGGACCGCATATCCGAAAAATATGTCAGCCAATCACATTTCAGTATTTACACAAGCAAACGCTTGGGTTTTATTAGGGGAATTTTTATCTCAGCTCGTGTTATTTTACGAGTTGATTTTTTTCAAACATAACTCGCATAAATTATTGCACAACAATTTCCGTATCTGTGTAATGCTCTAATGCAATTTATATTTGACAGTATAATGGCATGTGTTTTATTAAGTGTGTCCATGAACAGAAAGAGCATGTGTTATTAATTGTGTCAATGACGAGAAAGAAGACACTTCTTCGAGTTCATGCTGGTTCGTTTTAAAAAAAATAGAGCATTAGCGAGCGTAGTGGTTTTTTTTACACAAGAGAGCGTAGTGTCATTACGATTTATATTTTTTCCACACCAACTCGCAAATGTAAATGCTCATTTTGGCCGTGTTTTTGTTGCATTGTGTCAGCGGTTCTGATTGATAATCAGAAATAAGACCCAATTCTCTATCTGCGATGAGGACTCAGTAACTGCGACTTTTTCAACCTTACAATCAGGCTTCAGCTCAAGAAAAAATTGCTATCGAATAATAATGTACGTTAATATTATTCTTTCTTTTGTTAGATTTATGAGTTTTATAAATTTGAAGTCTTTCCCTCTGCTATTATATTTTTCAAGCTTCGCAACAATATCCAAATTTCAATTACAATCTTGTTTTGAAAACTTTTCCTCTTTGTTAACATTTTTTTAAATCTCAACATTTTTTTGCTTCATCTTCAAGAATTATGCGGACAACTTGATTGGAACTTGAAGTTTTCTCTACTCTTCTCGTATTAAAGAAAAAACTTTCACTGTTTCAATCTCGGCATTGACTGGAGAAATTGACAAAGACTGGTCGAAGTTCGAAGGAATTTTACGAGACGAGCCAAATCACTGTTGCCAGCATATTTTACAGAAGCACAAAATCAGCGAGCTCAATTTTAACATCTCCGTCTAAATAGAAAAGCACTCAACTTCCATTCAAATCTTGATAAAGCTGCTCAAAATGATCTTGAACAAGCTTTGAAGCAAATGCGAAATCGATACACAAGGCCAGGCTGAATCCGAGAAAATCATTTTGAACTGAGAAATAGAGTTGAAGACAAAAATGAAGCATCGAGTTTCGATAAACAGGTGGATAATTATGATATTGACGGCTATCAAGATATTCTGGAAGATTTTTCTGGATCTGTAGACTAGGAGCGAAATCAAGTCTTTGACGAAGAACGATTCGAGAGAGTCGAAGATAGCTGGGCAAGCTGGACAAATAGAATTCCGTTTTTTTTTGCAAATTAAGCAGACAACAGAATCAAATAAATCAGAAAATACAGCTGTTTTTGGTTTTCTGTTTGCTTTTTGGATTCTCTATATCAAAACTTGCTTTAATAAAAAAACTTTTTACATCAGATTTTAAACACTGCAATATGCATCTTACAGCAATTTTCTACAAACAATTTTTTTCCATTAATTGTATATAAAAATATATGTATAAATATCTAAACTTAATGAAGCCAAACTGTGAGGCTGGTGAGACGAGAAAACCTCGGATCGAATTTTCTGTAAGAAAACTGTTCGAAAAATAACCTACTCGAGAGTTTGCGAAATCTACCGAAGCGACCATAATAGAGGAGGGGCCGCACTTTAAGTAACTATTTTTTTAAATTTTTTTGTTCTTTAATGATTTAATCGGCTTGTTTTGCCCTATCTAAGGTAAAGTCCCTATGCATTTTCGGCTCTCTTTTGTGCTATCTCATTATTGATTCCCCTTATCAAGCCTGCTTCTAATCTGTTTTCCATTACCAATCACTACCAATTTTCCCCGTTGTGGAAAGCAGAGATGGAATAGGAAATGGATGGATATTGAGGAAAGATGTGCAATACAAAAACTAGCCGTTGCTCTTTCTTGATCTGGGATAGTAATGAATCAAGTCTGGTCTAATACATTACGCATTTAGGTTCAAAATTGAAAAAATTTGCAACCAAAATGATCATTGCTTGCAACACAAAACTCGAGTGTGGCAACTAAGCCGACAAAACAGAAATTTTTCACGTTGAAGTTTTTTGAAAATCAAGAACACTTTATGACTGATATACTCTGACAAACTAACCAAACTAAGAAACCTGGATGATTGGGTAAATTTTTTTATGCAGCTGGGAGTCATGAACAAAAGGAAACAGAAAAAAAACCCTACAGTTCAATGTTGACCTCCTTTGATAAAATACACCGAATTTGAGAAAACTGGATCAACAGGTTTTTTCCTCTGGGACATGAAAAATAATTTACACTTCCGAAACTAGAAGTGGATCACGTTGTTGGTGACTTTTACACTTTTCCTGTTCGCTGGTGGAATTCGCTTTCCTTTTAACAAAAGAAGTTCACTGAACTTGAAAACAAATCAGAAACAGAAATTAAACCGCGAAAAATAAAGTTTGGGCGTGAAAAAGTTGCACGACTTCTTCCTGCAAAAAATCTCCAAGACGACGTTCGACTCTTAAAAATTAAAATCTCTTTCAAAACTAGAAAAAAAAATTTGTTCTTAATTGGAGAGGGTTTCGTCAGTTTTTTGTTCGTAATTGGAGAGGGCATTTTGACTGCCTTTTTGCAAATAAAATTTAAATTGAAATCACAAAGGCATAGATACCTAAGTGCATTCGTACATGCATTAACAGGTATGAATGCACTTCTGTAGTTGCTAGAGCATTTTGAGTTTTCCTGAAAAGGAAAACAAAAAATTATCAAGAATTAAATGAGTGAAAAGGTTTACATTCTCCAAAACCTAAAAAAGTGACCAAAAATGCTAATTAATGACGAGAAACTGGGTGTTCATTATTTCTCGCTACGGCAAACCTCAGCTAAATGGTTAGTTAATTATTTCTTGGTTCAGATTTTGGTCCAAATCAGAATTTTTCCGATTCTCGAAAGTCTTTCCGGTCCGCTTGGAGTTAACGAATATAACTGGGACGACTAAGTTCATGGGTTCGAATCTGACCAGGACCTGTTTTTTTAAACGGGAAATTTTCTTTTCAAATGAAATTGTCGGACTATGTTGTGTCTGCTTGTTTTTGTCGGCTTAGTTGCCGTATCTTCGCAACGTTTTCTTTTGCTGAGCGCATTTATTAACATTGTTTTTTAGTGTTTGACAAACGCGTGCATATTTGTAATTTTACATACCTTGACTTTGTTTTTCCTTTTGTGTTTTTTTGTTTCGCTTAAAAATATTATTCGGTCTAATTTATTTCGGTCCATTTTTTATCGGCTTTTTGACCTATTTTGGGTCGCTTAAAACACACAATTTTGGAGTTCCCCTCCGCACTTTTTGATTGTTTATTTTTTTTGTTTGGTATTATGAAAAAAATGTTGGGATCGGGTTTTTTTGAGACGCTTTGGAAAAATTTTTCCACCTTTTCAAAAAATTTATTTTCTTTCTTCTGAAAAACCGCTATCGATTTTCATAAGAGAGGTTTCAATGGGACGTCCGACAACTACCCCGTGTGCCTGCGTAATTCCCTAATTTTTTTTTTAAATTTGCCCCACTTTCTACAGCCTTCGAAAATGTGTGTGGGGAGAATTTTTGACCCGTTTTTTTTGTTTTTTACTTTTTCTCGAAAACTGCATTCTCAAATCTGAGATTTTGATTGCAATGGAGAGAACCGATTTTAAGAATTTCCCCTGCCTAAGCAGTTACGCCCAAATAATTTTACACAAAAATTTATGACCCTCGGAAAAGTCAAAATTTTCGATTTTTTGACCGTTATTTGAAACTTTGACTTTTCTCAAAAACTACCCTCTCAAATCTGAGATTTTGGGCTCACTGGGTGGAACGGTTCACGGAATGTCTTGCCCAAATTTTAAAGTTATGGCCCACGGAATAGTCAAACTTTCGAAGTTTTGACGGTTTTTTCAAACTTTTCTCAAAAACTACCCTCCCTAATCTGAGCTATTGGTTTCAACGTGTAGAACAAGTTGTCTGAAGCTCCTCTTTGTAGCAATTTTTGCGCGTCCCTTAATGCGCAAAAAAAGTTTACGTGTGTTTGTTTTTGTTTCGAGTAAAAGGGGAACGTAAAAGTTTTTATTTAGTTTTGAATTTAAAAGAATTCGGCTTGAAGACTTTCTGCTCAGGTATATGCGACATTTTCGTCGCTTGGTTAATTATGTTCTGATGTTGACTTTGCATTCTATTCTTTGAGCATGTTCTTTCACAACTATCTTCATTCATTATGATAGTCTGGCTGTAGCGCAAGTAGTGCTTAGCTCAGCATTGCCATGAGTAAATATTTTCCACCTGTTGGATGTTTTCTTTCTTTTGTAAATTGGTGCCCTCTAGGAGTAGTTATAGAAATGGAATTTCTAAACCTCCATCTTTTTGCAAGCTTGCGATCACTATTCGTCTACTGGGATGCAAGTTATTCTAATTACGCTTGCAATGTATGACGTTTTTTTTGTTCTGGCCAAACTGGATGAAAACGTGTTCCTTTGATCATATTTTAAAGCCGGTTATTTTCAGTTATTTTTCTTCTTGATTTCGTTAATGTAATCGTTTTCCGCAATCTCTCTTTTAATTCTTGTATATGAGTTTGTTACAAGCAGTTGAAATAACCATTGTTGTGGGACTAAATGCATAAAAATAATCGTAATAAATTCCTTGCAATATAGATTATATTCACTGTAGAAATCGTTTACAACCAAATGAAATGTAATCGCGAGAGTGCCGTGGAATTTTGCTGCCCGTTTTCGGGCGCCTCTAATCCTTTTTTGACCTTGATTTGTTTTTAATGTTCTTAATTAATCAGAAAATGATTTGAAAAACAGGTTGTCAAAAATACATCATTTAAGATGTGTAATTGATATTCAGTGCAGCCGTGAATCCATGTTACGAAATCTGGTTAGTTTTTTGAAACAAAAAAGAAAAATTTTCTAATTTTTACAATCATTGAATGGTTTGGTTACCCTTTGTATGCACATTTTTTTCATTTAAAGCCTCATGAAGTATGGTTTGTATGCCCTGTTTCCTCTGGACCCTACCAAGCAGCTTCAAAATTCCACTGAAATCTAACACTTTTACGAATTGGTTGTTGAGTTTTTCTCTTATATCTTCGGTGCTCTCATATTTTCCCTTGAAGCAAATAATTTCGAAAAGATGTCTGGTTTTAATTTTACCTGTTTCTACTTTAGTTTTGTCTATTGAAGCATTAGCTGAAACTATGTACTGTAAATTGGGTTTTACAAGCGTTTGTGCTCGTAGCGCTTGATTTTCACTTAGTTTTCTTAACTGTAATGCATGCCTCAAAACCTCAACATGTTATTTTTAGTTTTTTAGTAATATGATCTATGCAGAAAACTTAGAATCAATTTGAACACCTAACTAACAGAACGATAGTTTATCTCAGATCGATCGCTTATTGCTTCATTTTTATGTCAGATTTTTGGTTGCTCTATTTAGACAGTATCATTATTTCTGTTCAAATTTCATTTAAAGGCAGCTTGTTTTATTTTTGTCATACAACATGCTGTTTTGTCCAAATCTTTACGGTATATGTATCTAAAGTCAGTTTGCTTTCACTTTTTCTTCCTGTTTAATATCATTTATAGAACTGATGAAGAGAACCGGGCCTATTATGCATACCTGTGCTACTCAATATTGCACATTTTTGAGATCGTTTTGTTTAATTGTCAACCTATTCTTGTCGATTTTTGAAGTAGGATTTTAGAGGGTCCAAAATGGATCCCCGAAAGCCCTAAGTCGCATTTTTCGTGTGGTTAACTGTATAAGATTTCTTTAAGATCAATAAACGTGCAGTGCACTTTGTCATCGTGTTCTTAGAGTTCCAGTTTTGAGGCGCTTCTGCTAACATGGTTATTAAAGCATCACTTGTAATCTTTTTTGAACTGAATCCAAACTGGCAATATTGTAAAAATTGATACTTTGTGGGATTTTGATTCGATAAATTATAAATGACCCGCTCAAAAGTTTTTATTATTTGAAGACAATTGGGTCTGTAATTTGATGGGTTAGCTTATTGCTTTTTTTTGAAGTGAGATTTGACTTCAGCTAATTTAAAACTCCGGAATTTGTGTATTCAAATATTTTTGTAAAATTTTTGTCACAACTGGATGCAAAACTGAATCAATTTTGTTTCAAGCAAAAGTGATTCAGTCCATATGTAGCAAAATTAAACTTGGTTTTTAACAATTCGAATGTTTTCGATTTTGCAATTTCGTTACGTCTGTGAAATACATCGAGTTAACCTGCTTTCTGACTTGTAATTTTTTTGAAGTATTAAATTAACTGGCCAATTTATCCCCAAAGTTTGCAAAGAAGTCGTTAAATTTTATCTGCGTATGTCTTTTTCTTCCAGTTCGGCGTTTTTTTTTTGGACAATTAGATCAATATACAGATGGAAACATTCTCTTATGTGATTATTGGATTCCATTTGACTCTTGTTTTGTAAAAGTTTCCTATTTCTGATTTTGTTTGTAATCTGCTATATATGGAAAACTACTTACTTTTGAACAAAACTTTAACATAAGTGGGTTGAAAAAGAAGGGATATCCCAGTGGGTTTTTTTTTTAATTGTCTGTTTGGTTATTGGCTATGTTTTATTGGCTATGTTTTATTGTTGCTTGCCAGTCATATCGATGACAATTTTTTTAAATTACCAGCATGTCTACTTTTTCTTTTGTCGGGTGTCCCCGCACTGGGACATGCCTTTAATAGCTCCACTGCGTGTTTTATTTACATCTCTGAACTACACAATGTCACTTAGCTCTTAATTTTGCGCGATTGGTTTAATTTGTTGATAATAAAATTGCATGTGAAATCAACTATTCTGCCTCTTTTAATCCGAGTATAAAAATTGTTCCAGGATTTGCAGGCGAAAAGAGACCGAAAGAGAAATCAGCCGAAAATGAAATCGATGATGGTTCGTATGAAGTGAACAGAAGAACAAAGAAGTGAGCTTCGAGGTCTGATTGCTGATACATGGTATAACCCAACTCTCAAAGAAAAAAATCTTCGCAAATTTGTCTTACAATCGCCTCCCATGTCACATCAATTCATTTCGGAAAAGACATCTCCTCCCCGTCAAAACGTCGATATGTATCTAATATTTATTATTTACGATGCTACTTATAATCTATTGTATTTTCAATTTGTTCCATGTGCGTATGCTGACTTCCAATGAAAGCTTCGAATGATTCTGGCTTGGTTAGATTGAGCCGAACTGATTTGATACTCGATTTTTCATGTAGCTACATCAACTTGGCTAGATCGAGAGATCAAAAGAATCCTTTCTTCAATTTGTGATGGGAATATGTTTTTTTGTTAAATTGGTTTATCTGAGGATATTTAAAAAAAAATTGTGGCAATGCCTTCAAAATCTTTGATCTTTCATTGTAAGTTTGAAATGAAATCCTTAATGTCTTTGCTTGGTTAATTTCCTTAATTTTTTAAAAGTTCTTCTTTCCTATGAAGTACCTTACAGACATGTTTATTTGAATATCCCCAAGTGAAAGTAAAAATTGTTCGATGTATATGATACTGTGGAAATAATGCCGTCATGTAAAGAGGCATCAGTATCGAGAAATTATCAAATTAAATTTCAGTACTAAATTTTTGACACAGAGAGAGACAGGTATTTGGTCATCTGTGGTTTTTCAGTTAAAGTCAAGAAGTATGTTCTTTTTTTGTTCGGAAAAACGTGTTCGTGCTTGTGAACTGATTACATTAAAAAGCTTTTCTTGCAATTTAGTGACCTATAATTTGACGTTGCTAGTTCGAAGTAGAAACTATAATCTGTTTTTCCTTTACTTGAGCTCAATGGGACCTTAATAATGAATGATTTAATGATTCATTTTTTAATGATTTTTGTTGTTCCGACTATTGAAAATGGTGTGGAACTTTGTATTCGGGTGTGTTTTGGTTTTTTCTCTTTAGGAGTCAATGAACATTGTTCCGAAGTTTTTAAAAGTCGTTATGATTTTTTCACGAGCAGTCTTAAAACCGCTTCAGGCTCAAATTTATTTTTTCGTAGTTTAATTTTTGATTTCTTTTAAAGGTCAGTTCATTTTCGAAATTAGAAGTCAAAGTCACGGAAAACGTGATTGACTTTTAATTTCGAAAATGGAATTTATTGTTCAGATTTGTCAGCGAAATGAAAATTTTTGCCTATAATCCAATTTTCTAACATTGGGGTAATTTTATCAAAGAAGGGTCAATAATAAATTGTTCTAAAAATTCAAAGATCTTTAAGGCCATCTTTTTTTAAAGATCGAAAGTTTTTTTTTATGATTGTTGTCGGTACATTCTGTGCTATTGCACAGCAAACGACTATTCTTGTTTCATTTCTGTTTAATTTGCTTGGTTAGAACATTTGATGCTGGCAAAGAACACTCCATGAGGGCAGGTTGTTGAGCTATCTGTTGAATGTGCTTACTCTCTTTGAGGCATAGTGTTAGACCAAGAGATTGCTGATGTTTTGACGGGGATTAGTAATGGGTTCTTATTTTTCGGAGTTCCTGTTTTTGTTCTCTTTCCAAAGTTTTGCCGAGCTTTAAATTCGGATGCTTTTCCTCGCAAAAATCAGATGTGGTAAATCGTTTTTGATATCAATGGCCGGGACAATTATGATCGAGCTGCCATTCAAAAAATTTCCAAAAACGTTCTCCCTATGCGAGAAGTTTCTGTGTTAGTCGGGTGGTTTTCGTTTAGCAATCAGATTAAGCATGAGTAAACAGACTTAAAAAAGTTTTTTTAAGCATTAACTAAGTTATTAAAAACCACTTTCCTAAATTAAAAAGTCAGCATTTTTATTAAACAAAAATCTTTTTGCATTGTTATTTTTACGGTGGTCGAAACATTCCATGCTCTTTGCGTTGAATCAGGCTGCCTTTGCGTGAACATATTTGATATTTAGAAGAGATCCTACAGCTGTCTAGGTTAAAGTCATTGTAAATGTGTACATGAAACCCTTTATCATGTATACGATTAACAAAAAGTTTTATGTAGTGAGTTTGTTTTTATTTTGACACATGCAAGCTTGCAATCGTCGTTTTGAGATATAAAAAGAACAAGACTGCTCGTATCAGGGCGAAGCCCTGAATGTTCCGACTGCCTTTTAAGGTTTATGGAGCAGTAATAACATAAAAAAATTAAATGTAAGAAAAAAAATTGAAATTTTTTTTCTCTTAAATTTGAAATTTTTTTCAATGAAAATCATCGCCCCACACGCCATATAAAGTACAAAAGGATAGATTTCGCTCCTTGTAACAAATCAATTATGGCAAATACGCTACTTTTAACCAATTTGGAACGATTTCTAAGACGGATTAACTCTCCGCTTACGCGTTAATAGCGCGAAATATATTGCGCGTTAATTGTCCCAAATTGGCCAAAATGGCAATCTTTAAACCCCCATAACTTTACGAAAAATGATCACAGGTGAAATATTGTTTCAAATTTAAGCTCAGGACAACAATAGCTTTTGAAGTATATAAAAAAGTTCCGTCTAAAATGGCTAGTTTAAAAGTCGAAATTTGTTCAAAAAGAAAAAAAGTTCAAAAAGAAAAATTAAACCCACCCCGAGCACAAATATTCCGTTACTTTCGTATCGAACGTCGGAACAACAAGAACGAACTATGTGTATTCAGTCTATGTGGATATTTTTCCTTCGAAAGTCAGACATTATAATGCAAAGTTTCCGCGTAAATTAACCTATAGTCAAGCGGTATCCACTTCATAAAAGTGCATTCCTTGCTAGCCCTGCCTGATATCTATGCATTAAAGTAGATTATATCAAGAGACTGTGCAAAGTGGCTGTGATTAATGAGTTTTGATTGGAAAGCCCTTAGTTCGAATCATGTAGTCTCTGGTTTGTTTCTAGCTTGATTGATTTTGCACTTTTTCGCTTGTCCGTTTTTACTGCTCTTTTTACTGCTCTTAGTTTTTAAACCAATTTAGAATCAAGTTAAGGCGGTTGCATTGCAACTACCTCATAATGTTCCGATCGAAAAAAAATTATGCATAAAAGTTATTACGAAACAGATATTTTAAGGCAGCACGAACGGATGAAATTAAATGTGAAAAAAAAACGCAAAATTTGGGACCTATTTTTTGGCTCGGGGATTTTTTGAAAATGAATCACGATTGAAAGGCTTATTTGAAAACCTTCACATACCTGATTTTGTGGTTGATTATATACCTTAAGCCTAGCACTTTAAGCCTAACACGATTTTCATTTATTTGATTCGGAAATTGAGTCATGGTTGAAAGGGTTCTATAGGATACCTTCACATAATTGATTCTGTGTGAAAATAATCACCTCAGGGCTTAGTTCGCTCCCATTTGCTGGTAGTTGCGTGACCTTGAACAGCGAGTTTGCCTTCGTCTATATTTCACAGTGGCTGATTTTTGAACAGACTGATCTCTCTATTGAAATTTCGCTTCTGTTTTTATTCCATTAGAATTGTTTTTGATCACTCAAAAGTATGACTAGTCAATCAATTTAGCACATAATCTTAAAATGCTTCATTTCGTCTTTTTTGCTTGAATAGTATTAAAATATGCTCTTTCTTGGATTTTTTTGCAGGTTGAAATTTAACATACTTTGTTAAGTTTTTTTTCATATCAGTTAAGGAGGGAAATTATTCGTTACAAGGTACAACAAATCGTGAGTGGTATATGTTGAGATGAGTCAACTGTTGAGTTAGTCCTCTATGCTGGATACTTTTAAGTACCATAATTTCGATTCGCTCAACAAGATTGGCTAAAACTCCATAATTTTAACTAGTACTATTAGCGCGCAATTATGGTACTACGCTCGGTTTAGAGTCATTGCTTTGTTATCCCTAATTTCGGGTATTTATGAATTAGAATTCAAAGTCCCAATTGGTCGCTGACTAATGATGGACTCTATTAAAGTTATAAATATTCCGGATCAGTAATCTCGTCAATTATTTCAAGTTTGGGGAACCAATTAGGAAGGTCACGCCGAGGTATTAGTAACCATTGTGTCACGGTCATTATGCCAATTGTTTATCGGAAATAGTTTTGTGGCTCTTTCAAATACTATTTCGATTATTGTCGAAAGTACTCAGAATAATTCATTTTGTTCTAAGTAAGTTTTCAGCGCTAACATATCTAATATCTGTATTTTAAAAAATCCGAAATTGTTAAGTTTTCAATTATATTTTATATTTTTCAGAGATAAATGTGTTTATTAAATTTATTCTGACGGTCGCCAAACAAAATCTATTCTGGTCCATTCTCACTTGTGTTTGAGCCAAAATTAACCAACCCAGTTCTAGATTGAATTTAATATTTTGCTTTTTTTTTGCCTTGCGACCCCTTCTTGCTAAAACATTGCCAGCAAACCGTAATCTTTCATTGCTTATTTTCCATTTTATTTATTATTGTTTCTTGATCCACTGTTGTTACTTGACTTTTGTTCGCACTATTTAGAAATCCCTAAAATTACCATTTTTTCTCCTTTATACAATTCTTGTTAAAATCGGAAATCTTTGTTTCTATCTTTCGATTAAGTGAAATATCTCGAAGGTGCTTACGAGCTTACTATTTCAAATGCCTCGTCAAAAAAGTGAAATTGCTGCAGAAGATACGAAGAAACTGTCATCCAGAAGTAAGTAAAACTTTTTGATTTATCTGATTTAAGATAAAATTTAACTTTTTTGGGTAAGAAGAATTTTCGATTAATGCAGAGGTTTTTCGCCAGGAGTGTTTCTATTGAAATGATAATTTAACCAAATCAATCTTGACATGACATGAATAATTATACAAACCTCTGCATAGTTTACTACGAAAAAAATTACCCGGAGTGTGTTAGAATTGCACCCCATCAAACTAAAAATTGTCTATGAATTAATTTTTGTAGAATTTTATTTAGTAGTTTGTACGTTTTTTTTTTAGAAATAAACCCTCATTTTTAAGAAAGTTGTAAGTGTCTGGTCATCATTCAAACTTGAAACAGAAAGTAATTTTTAAGTGTTTTACATGGTTTGTGTTCGTTTAGGCTCTGTAAAAAGGCGAAAACAAGTTGACAAAGAAAATGTAGAAAACACAGTGCCAGATGAAATGCTGACTATGGAGTACTTAGAATTGAGAGATACTCCAGTAAGAAGATCAAATAGACGCGGAGGACCGCTTTCTGCTGCTTCATTTTCAACTTCAAAGTCAACCGACAAAAAATATAGAACTAAGTCAACATCAGTCGCTGAAGACATTACAAGCTCAAATGAAATCATACCACCTCGGACTCCAAGACAAGTGAAGAAAAAAGAGGCCAGAGAGGTTTCCGTCGATGAAAACAAGGAAAACACTTGGACAAAAATTGTTTTGCCCAAATCTGCAACAAAAAATGATAATAAAAAACCGATTTCAGAGAATTTGTCACTGAAAGAAAGTAAGACGCATGTATTTATTAATGAAAGCAAGAGTGAAGATGTTCGAAGTCCGTTGAGAAGCAAAAGAGGAGCTGTAAATATGCCAGTCATAATGCCTTTAACGCCTCCTGAAGAAAGTAGTGACCTAAAGGTAAATTGTCCAGTAATAAGTGAGGATTCAGGCTGGCAGAATGGATTGAGGATAAGCGTCCCGGTGACTCCAAGGAACCGCAAAGAACTCCGGAAGTCAGTGATGGAGTCCAATAGTTTAACATGTTCGGCTGTCGGAAGGAAACGAAGGATTCTTTTCCCTGGATGTAAGTTAATTAAAGTTGAATAAGTAAGTTATTATAATTAAAGATTATTCTTGAGGTCTTGCAATATTGCATGCTTGTAACAGTAATTAAAATGCAACTAAGAAAGTAAGAATGTCCAAGAGGACAAAAATTACATCAAATAAACAATAAATACCTAAACTTAGCCGAATACATTTTCTCATTATCAGACTTTTTTGTTTTCAACTCGCATGAAGCCTCAATTTGCGGCACGTATTCAAATTATTTTAATCTCATCTGATGAGTTTTCTGCTATAGATGAATACTACCAAGAAATTAAAAGCGCATTCTGTCCTAAGCAGCAAACCCTCTATGACGATCACGTCAATGTCGACGGCAACATGCTTGCCTTCGGCGGACATAAAAACGACTCCTTCTCAGCCAAAGAAGTGATTCTAGGTCGGGAAGAAGAAATTGATCGTCTTCAATCACTCGTCAATGATGTTTTGGAAGGTAAAAGTGCCAGCTTGTATATTTCTGGGCCCCCTGGAACCGGCAAAAGTGCATGTGTTACAGCAGTCCTGCAAGAACTGGTAGCGAGGAGCGGTAAACACGTTGCGAATATCAGGATTGTTAATTGTGTACGCTGCAGAACCCAGCAAAGTATTCTCGAAGCACTGCAATGTAACTCGGAAGGGTTATTTTTGGACACGAAGCTCAAAAGTAGTTCACAAAAAGGTCAACTACCTTTTATAGTAGTTTTGGACGAGGTCGACCAAGTCGAACCTCAGCACCATTCGTTCATTTACAAAATGTTTGAGTGGGTCTATGAGTCACAACTGACAAAAAATGGCCATAAACGGAAATTTTTGTTGATTGCAATTGCAAATGCGCTGGATTTGACCGAGCGTGTTCTGCCACGCCTGGCTCTTTCGTCGGTAAAACCACAACTGATGCACTACAAGCCATACAATGGATCCCAGATTGCGAAAATCATTTTAGACAGAATCAGTAAAGTAAGTTGCTAGTTACATATATCCAGGTAATAGCCTCAGCTCATTAGTCTATATTGGTTTTGTGAAGACTGCATAAAAGGCTGTTTGCGGTTCATTACTAACGTATACGTTCAAGAGCTGAATTGGTTCGTATTAAGTTGATACAGGCAATAGTAATTTTCTGAATGCGAGTTAACCTTTTGTCGCTCTATGAAAATAGAATGGTGGTCACAGTCATACGTTCGTAAATTTCGGATAGACCAATCAAAAGCAAACGAAGTTGAGAAAATCGGGTAAAACCTACGTCTTCGGGCAGAAATGAGAACCCTAGGCATAGAGCATGAAAAAAAAGTGTAGGCTGACGGAATTAATATAATACTACCATGTGTTATTATTCGAAGATAAATTTATTGCAATGACTCATAATCTGGAGCAGGCGCGGATCTAAGAATTTCTCGAGGTGCGGATTTCAAAAAAAAAATGAAATTTGCGTCGACCTTTTTTTAGGTCGACCAAATTGATTTTCTGAGCTCCCACAAATCACTAAAGACCCTTATTTTACAAAACTGTTTTCTTGGCGTTTTTATGCACTTTAACTACGGCGTGTTTATGCACTTTTTGGAACTCCCCCCTCAAAATAAGTGTAGATTGGCGCCAAAGGCGCCTTTAGAAAATTTTTTAGGTCAGTCAGCCAAAAATTAATATCTCAAATATTACAAAGGGGGACTCTTTGGGACGGCAGGGAGTCGAATCCCTGAGGGGAAGGGCGTCCGCCCCCCAAATCCGCTACTGATCTGGAGTTTGGTGGATCGAATCCGGTAGTCTGTAAAGTGCGTTCAATTTCATAATTATTTAATTTGTCAAATTAGGATAACTCTATTTTCGTCCGACGCGTTTTTTTTTGTAGTCGACGAATTAATCCGGCTTAGAAATGATTCCCAATTAAATTAAGGCGATCTAACTGATGCAAACTGCAGTGGATTAGTTTTTAAAACCACTGACCCTTGGCCGTTTTGTTGTTTCTGATTGCTTAGTACATCTTTAGTACAGACCGTTTCATTGCCTAGTACATGCCGTTTTATTGCTGAGTACAAAAGCTTCGGGCGGAAGTTTCTGTGTTTCTTATTCATCAGCTGACTATGCTTATCTTTAAAGTGCAGTATCTGTGCGAATTTTTGGGAACTTTTAAAATCAGTCTGTATTTTAGGTGGAGAGTGACAAAGCTCGTGGTTCTGGCGACATTGCTCATCAGCCTCTTCTGGAGAGAGGTGCGATAGAACTGTGTGCTCGGAAGGTGGCCTCTTCCACTGGGGACGCGAGGAAGGCTCTGGAACTATGCAGACAGGCCATAGAAGTGGTCCAGAATGAGGCCATGAAACAGTACACTGCAATACAGGCTCTAGGTATGCCCCCTCGTACTCTTGAAACGACTCGTAAAAGGTGCTCAATCACAATTGTGATCACCATGAGCAACAACGCTATTGGTCTACTCAGTGGGTGGGTATTCACAAGTACCAAAATGACAAATCAGTCCAGTAGTATAGAGCAACAAGAGGTCAAGTATATTTTCGGAGAGAGGTCAACCTGTCAAAGTCGCGTGACTATGTTACTCAATTAGCCTAATCTTTTTTTTCTCGGGGGTCGTAATAAAGATCTTATCAGATTAATTTTTTCACCCGAGTTATATTTTGGGGGTATATGACCGGAATCTTTGGGGAAATTTTGTTCGATTGTTAATTAAGTGGATAACTCTGCTGAGATATCTCTCGGAAAACGAGAATTCGTGCATATCAACCAGATTGATATGGAAACCAGACGGGTGTGCTCCACAACCACTGAAGAAGGAACAACCACAACGATACTTCCTCAGAGCTCTAAATTCGAAAACGAATTGGAAGATCAAAAACTACGTAAAAGGAACTCATTTAAAATCATGCTGGCAGCTCAGATAGCCCTCGGAAAACGAGAATTCGTGCATGTAAACCAGATTGATATGGAAACCAGACGGGTGTGCTCCACAACCACCGAAGAAGGAACAACCACAACGATACTTCCTCAGAACTCTAAATTCGAAAACGAGTTGGAAGATCAAAAACTACGTAAAAGGAAACGTCGAGGAATTGTGCATACGATGCAGAGAAGGTCACAGGACAAGAAAAAAAGAGCAGCGAAAACTAGAGCTGTACAAAAACTGACCTCGAACAGATATATTTAAACTGTGTAAAGTAAATGATAGTGTTAAGATTTTTGATTGTCTTTGTTTAAAAATTCATTTACTTGTTTTGCTAAATTTCGTGTCTCCTAGAAAGAAATTTAAATATTCTTAGTCGAGTTTTCGCAACAACAACAAAAAATCCGATATGATACGGCTCCTTAGACAAAAATTAAGGAAAAATTTTATTTTGAATCTTAATAAAAAAGGAACAGCAAAAATCCTTCTCGATTTTTTCAAATTGAAAATGAAAAAATTATATTTAAACTATCAATCAACTAGGGTTTTCTTTTTTTTGAAGTCAGATTTTGGATTTTTTTTTTCAAAAAAATGAGTGTGCTGGAGTTCAATGAACGAGTAAGTTTCCAACTAAAGAACAATTAAAATTTTTCAAATTAAAAACACCAATCTCAATAAAAAATCTCCTGGCTCTTGTTTCACTAACCGAAAAACAGTTTTCGTAAAGAGATCTTGAACAGGAAAAAATTTATTGATTGAAAACGGAATCTATAGAATAGATTTACAGGATAAAATTTTCACCAAATGCAATCAGAGATATATGAAAGTTTAAATATTAAGAGGTAATGTATGAATTCCATCTGCTAGCACTTCTCGTTTCGGATAGAAAAATGAAAGAGCTTTCTTTTTCAGTTCATAAGTTACCATTTTTTAATTGTTTTGCACTATGAATCCTCGGTTCGTAGTCTCAGTTTCTGCTTGCTCAACTAAAACACTTCGATATTTCTGCATCGGCGAGTTGTTTAAAAGGGCTGTTTGGTTTATACTTTTCGAACTCAGTTTAACTGTTTTTACTGATTTCATCCAGACAGCAGTACGTTTTTGAGCATAAGGCAACCATCTCCGTGCATCGAAATTCTTCTTTGAAAAGACCCGGAGTTCTCTGATCATACTTGTTATGTTTTTCACGACACTTTCGAGGGAAAAATTTAGAAATTGAATTAGCAGTGAAATTGTTTCTACAATCGTTACTCCTCATTAAATTCCATTTACTTTTCATTTCGGATTTGATGATATCCTCGAGATCACTTCCGTTGATTGAAAGATATAAACTGTCCGTATCCATTTCAATGAACCCATATTTATCAGGATCTCAGAATGGAACGAAAAAATTATAGACGAGTTCAAGCATTACTAATTTTGCATACTGTAAGATGAAAAATCCCACTATAATTGGTTCTTGTTCAACTTTCGATTTACCGAGTTCAACTTCATAAAGTTCGTTCGGTAGTTCGTTAAACTTTCTAAACGTCTTATCATTCACCAAATTATTGACACTTGATCCCGTTACATACTTCGTTCGAGTATGTCTGGAACGATCCATGATTTGGTATCCGTAGGCACTGTTACCAACAACTTTCTCAATATTGGCACAAACAGCAGAGTCAGGATTAAGATCTCCTTGTCGTCTTGCTTCAACTACTCCATTAACGAATGTCTCGAAACACTGTTTCGGTTGGTATTGTATAAAGAAGTGGACTCTTTTCAAAACCAGACTATGTTTCAGGTAAAACAGTAACAGTGGAGTGATTATTGGTCCTCGCTATAAAATCATGCTAGAAATGAGCATTTTCTCGGTTTTTCTATAGATCCTGCTCTGATGCAAAACTTTTCATGAACTCACCTATATCATTGCGACCAACTTCACAATTTTAAAATATTGGAGGATTTGAGAAAATTTCGACTTCAAGTGATCTGGTACCTCAATTACAACATCCGCAACTCCAAACATTTCTCCGAGTCGAATTTTTTCGGTCAACTCCTTCTCGGTTATCGGTTTTTTGTAGGGAAAATGTGTTTTCAAGAAAACCCCGACTTCGTATTGATTATTGCGAGCCCATTCCCACCATTGACATTCTCTGATAGTAACTACTTGAAGACCTAAGCTTTGCAGATACTGCTTTCGTTTCACGGTTCTTTCACGACGCACGAGTCCCCTTTTGAGTTCTTCTTCCGAATGATGTTTATGGTCCTGGCAAGCACAGAAGTGGAAGAAGCAACCATCCGCTTCAAAAGCAGTTTCAAAATGCTGGCAATACCCGTCCACTGAAAAAGGTCCAAATCGTTTTTGTCTACGAGCAGTGAACTGTGATTTTATTTGACAGTCCGGTTTCTGTCCTTGTAAGTATGTTAAAACCATGAGCTCAAACATACTTCTTGTCGGATTCTGTCGATGATATTTATTCGACTCATTTGAGTACTCCCATATGAAGTAAGGACCAGTAGGCATCTCTTTCATCATCGAATATGGATAGAGTTGACTCGCATCTATTCCGACGACTGCGTTACATATATTTTGACTATCTCTTATCCGAGTTTCTGTGGCTTTGGCGTATCTGGTGAAAATTATTGACGACTACCTGTGAGTTTTTGTCGAATGAACGAATCATACCAGGAGTCGGCTTTAGCAAAGGGGAAAAACTTTGCATCAGTGGAGGAATGCAAGATATTATTTGCTAGATTAGGAAATATAGTCCAAGCTTTAGCATATCGATGTTTTTCGAATGATAGTAAGCTACCATTCTGTGCATCGCTGTCATAGTCGGTACTACGTCTTTATCGTTATAATATTCCAGGAAATCTTTGAACACTTGCATATTTTTTTGTGCCAAATGCTTTCTAACTCCGCGTAATTCTCTTCTTTCGTCTTTGGTATCTGTTTCAATTTCATTTTTTTCAAACTTGCTTCACAGCCATCTCGCTGGTCTTTTTGCATTTGAGTTTGCTGTAGAAATCGTCGATACTAGGTAGTTTTGTCTCGTTCAATTTTTCAGGACTATTAAACCATTCATATGGGAAAAATCCTTTCTGATCTTCTGATCCGTAAGCTTTTAAGAATTTGTCAAGACTGGTAGCTCCACCCAGAAAACTTAGAATATCTAGAATCTAAGAAACTCATTCCCAAAAACTGGTAAGCCTTGCATATAACGGATGGTGAACACTTTTTTTCATACAAGAGAATTTCGAGCGAATACTCCTTAATCAAATTCAGATCATAACGCGAGCTGTTGAATCCGAAAATAGGTAGAGTTACACAGTACTTTTTGAGATCATCTCGCAACTGATAAAGACTTTTTAACGTCAGTTTTCCAATATCCAAAACGTTAGACTCAGTTTCGGTTGTGCTTCCCTCAACTGTACTGTTTGCATTGTCGACTTCATCTGAGAATTCTTCGTACTCAGTTATCTTTTCATCGAGATCGTTAAATACTCGTTCAAAATTTTCAATGACCAGAACTGAACTCAGCTGACTAGCCTCCAAAAGCTTTTCGATGAAATGCCGAACTAATTGTTTTGGGTCATAATTGCATAAAATTACTCCACTACCAAACGAATAGGAAATGGAAACGCTTATGGGTACATGTCGCCCAATCCATGTAGTCGAATCTGAATTTTTCAGCGTGTTATCTGCAACTGTGATAGACTCAAAGTCGAAAAAGGCAAAGTTCGTGAACAATCTGACTTCCTTCTCAACATGAATTCCTATGTCCTCTAGTCGTTCGAAGACAGTTTCTTTCAGTTGGTACACTCCAGTAGCATAGACATGTTTAAAATTTTCACGACATTGTCTTTGGTGATTCAGGAGAATCCGTGTCGATTACAAAAAAGTATCGCAAGTATGACATCTGAACCTCTTTAGTAGGTTATTCAAATTCTCAGTCCAGCAGATGTGATTATCATAGCGAGTTAAGTTTACAATGCGAGAAAAGCGCAGTGCCGATCTTCTCGTCAATTCGCCTACAGTTTCCCCGTTTTCATCGTAATCAGTGTTAAAGAGTTGAATATTGATCTCACAAATATCTTCTAGTATGTAAATATCGTCTTCATCAACTCCAGGGGAACCCTTCCAATTTAACCCGTGATATTTCAATGAACCGTTGAAAAATCTGATCAGTTTTCAAGGCTAAGGAATCAGATCCATATAATTCAAAGGCAAGCGCAAGAAAATAACATAAGTTATCATGATAAGGGTTGTAATTTAAGTCGGATAATAAACATTTGATAGTTTGATTTCTCAACATTCTATCAGGGAGATTAATACTTCGGCAACCGAGGGGAACATTTTTCATCAGTTGTTAAAAAGAAAGTAACGTTGGTTATAGAAAAAAGTCCATTTTGTGTCAGGACGATGACAAATAACGTTCTCTAGCAAGTCCGCATTTTCAAGGCTTT